GGGGCAATTGCTTGATGAGAGAGCCCTTAGTGGCTATTTTATCCCCATTTATCTCCCAAGGTTCCAAGGATCCACGGTGACAGTATATCCAAATCTCATCCCATGATCACATGCGCTACAGTTTAGCTGTTTGTGCTTGTGAAGAATGTATCTGAACCTTAAGTCTAGTTTAATCTGGGGAGGGCCACTAGGAGAGAATTTGAGAATTCATAAATGGATGGCTAACATTCCATTGCTTGTGTAATGAATAGCTAAAACCAAGTATGAGCTAGTACAATAGGTAGAAACCTTGGTAAGGAAACTTAACTAAAGCTAAGGCAGTGGTGGTTAGATAAACAAGGTAAGTTGGCAAATTGGAAAAGCAAAATTTATGGCTTACACTCTAGTGTCCATCTCTTCTCCTTCCTAACTTCAATCTTCTGTTTAAAATACTTTGAATCACTTCTACTAGTCTGGATTTAAGAGATTGAAAGTTGAGGTGTCGAGGCAACTTGTAGCTGTATTTCCTGCTATTGAGACATAGTTACAGATAAGGAAAGAACCAAAGTCAACTGAAATGTAGAAGGAAAAGAAAACTCAAACCAAAATTTAAACTTGAAAAACTCATTAGATAGGTCTTGTGGACTTAAAGAAGTTTTGGTGTGTAAACATTTTGTTGAGTAAGTGACTATTACATAAACTACACTAAACATGTTTCTAAAAGCACAATCCAAATTCTAAGGCACTTGTGGATTTTCCATGAGTTCTAAGTCCAATTGTGTTTCCTAAAAAGAAAAATTTAGCTTAAATAAAATGAAAATTTTAGCTCACTAGGGCATCCCCAAGACTCTGCCTTGCAAATAAATAAAAATTCTGAACTGAAAATGATGCTAGAGATGCCAAGTTTTCTTAGAAATGCATCATGAATACAAATACAAAAATTCTCTAATCCTTACTTGGTTTGTAGCTTATGGTTGCACCATTGATGTTGTTGTGGGTGCTCTTGAGCTACCTGATTGTCCTCTTGAGGGATGGTGTAGTGATTCCATCTCTCGTTAATTTTCTTGGGTGCACTAGCTGTAGCATGGCCTTATTTCCACCAGATCTAAAACAAATTTAGGTTGCCACATGTATGGCCAAGGCTCCTCTAGGGTTGACTTGGAGGATTCTCCAGAATTGGGGCCCGGGGCTCTCCTAGGTCGACCCAAACGGATTCCAAGCTCCAATTGCCCAAAAGGGGTGCATATAACATGAGAGAACCCAGAATTTTCCAGGGTCCCCCCCACATGTAACACCTCTCTTTATCTCCAGATCCACCCTCTCAACCATGGCATCCCAAAAATGAGATTCACATGATGGATCTCTGCAATATAAAAAGTCTCCACAAGTGTGGTTTTGCCAACCAACACTTCTAGCCACTCTACAGAAGCATTGAATTGCTAAAAAGGGGTAGTTACACCTTCCACCATGTATAGAAGAATTCCTCATGTCACCAGGCCATATTCCTCAACAAACTTTATCGAAACAAAATTTTCATCACTTCCACTATCCAATAAAATCCACATTGGACTACCATGGAACATGCCCTCTAGCATTAAAGCTGATGCATGAGTGTGCTCGAACTCCATCTTTTTCAACACATAATTTAGTTGATAAGCAACAATCGAAAGCCTCTTCCTCTAACCAAAACAGTCTTTCTCATCATCCTCACATTGCAACTTCTTAGTATCTGACTTGCCTTCATTAGAAGATTGGCCATTCTTTTTTCTTTGTTGCTTGTTCTTCAGCTGAGGAAAATTAATTTTGTAGTGTCTAAGCTTGACGTAATGATGATAACTTTGGATATAATTCTTCACAAAGAACTTTTGCTTCTTCAACCCTTTTGCATCTGAAGTGGTCACCACAAACTTCAACTTGTGATGTTTGTTCCCATCCCTATGTCCACAATGATTATTACAATGATTCTTGACTGAAGGACTCCTCAAACACTTGGGAGCCTTATGTTTGTCATTGTCAAGTTGACAAATTTCAAACTCTTTATAAGTTGGGAATGATGAGTGTTGCCTCATGCTCTCACTATGAACGCTATCAAGAAGTAGGATTTGTTTTGATCTGGATCCTTCATTGGGACACAGCTTATCAAGTGAGTAAGCTCATTTTCCCTTGCTAGAAATGTCAAAGTTTTGTGCAAGCATTCTTCACATCATAATCAGGGGTAAAATGTAAATAAAAAGCAGCTTCAAACTCATCCATAGTAGATATTGATGGTTTCTTGTCTGCAACACAAAATTCCTCAAGCCAATTCCACCATCAAAGACCTATATCACTCAAAACCATTAGAATGGCCATTAAAGCCTCTGCATCTGGAATTCCTCTGGCAGCCAAAAACTTCTTCAAATTGAACTTCTTCACAGTTGGAATCTTCAGTCAATCCACACATTCTAAGGAATTTTTTCTATAATACCTTTGGGGAAAACAGACTGTGTGCAGAAATTACATGGAGAATGAGGCCTAGAAGTTTGTGGGGCGCATTCTACCCTCTGGATTGCCATTTCTAAGAAACGAGAAGCTTCCTCAGCTCTCTATAAACACTGTAAACCACGTGTTTCCATTAAAGTCGTATACCCAGTCTGCGAAGCAATGAGTTAAAGTTTCCTCTGTTGCCTGCTCCATTGCTCTTGTTCCACTTACCCTAAATTTTACAGCAGTTTAAACTGTGGACCGTTCTTGCTCTGTCTCTAGATTATTCGCTCATGATCGGTACACTATAGTCAGCTCGACATGCACGAACTCTCAAGCTTTGGCTCTCAACGAAGCTCACCCATTGGGACAAGACTTCCATTTACAGAGCAAATTAGGTTTGCCATGCTCAAAGAACAATGCAGGCTGCTGTGAAATTATTTCTCGTGGACCAGCATGGGAGACTTAAAGCAGATTTTGCGAATGGTTTCTCCAGACGAGTGCCAAGGTGTAAAACTCGCCGCTCTTTTCATTCAGACTCTCAACTATCTCTTTCCAAACAGCTTTACAGGATATCTGCGAATACAACGACATTACAGAGGAACAATTGGTATCTGCTCCAGAGACTATCAAAAGTGTCGAAATGTTTATGCACACCCTCCCTCGAATTTGCTGCATGTCTTTCTTTCCAAACCTTGTCTCACTTTCCCTGGTTCAGCAAAATCTTGGGGGAATTCATGGGCTTCACAATTGTCCCTATCTGGAAGTCCTTCGACTTAATGAAAATCATATTCAAAGGTTTAGAATTTTTTAACATGATACATCTTGAAAAATTAACTTGGTCGGGCTGCAGGATTGAAGGCCTGGATGGTTGTTTTAGGCTCAAAGAACTCTATTTGCATAGCAACCAAATCAGTCAAGTTAGGAATATCTCCCATCTTTCTAGTCTCGAAGTTCTCTGGCTCGCAAACAATCAGATTAAGAAAGTGGAGGGGCTTGAAAATCTTGCGAGACTAAGAGAGCTCAATCTCGCATGCAACACCATAAGTCAGCTTGGAGATATTGTAAATTTGAAACTGCTGGAACATCTTAATGTTGCCGCCACTGGGATAGGATCATTTAAGGTTAGTCGTCCAATTAGCATATAAATGTTTACTTAAATCGAAAACAACTGCAGGAGATTGGGAACTTGACAAGGCTAAAGTTTTTAAGGGATTTACGTTTTGCCGACCCGAATTGGGGTAGTAGTCCTATAGCTTTGCTTCATAATTATCAGGTAGATTTATGTTTTGCTTACAATTTTATCGTTATTTACCTGGCTTTTTCGCAGACTTATATCCTCTTCCGTATGCAACAGTTAATTATGCTGGATTCGGAGGATATGGCAGAGGAACTCAAACAGGCTGCGAAAGCTACTTATACCAGGAAGAGAGTCTACTATAATATGTGCATAAAGTCTTTGCAGCACAATAGGGAGAATATTGCATCTCTGTCTGTGAAATGTGAGTCAAGACGTGCAAGAAGTCTTCAAAAGTAAGTAGTTTTGTTGCTACATGACACAAGCTATTGACCTGAAAAGCCAATATTCCTTGTAGAACACTTGCAAAGCTATTTAGAAATCAAAAGGATCTGAGGCAGCAAATGAAGCAGGCACATGAGTTTCAAGAAGCTTTCAGGTCTACTAAGACTTCATTTGTGGGGCTTGAGCAATCCAGAAGACAAGATTGGTGGCATCATTCCAAATCCATGGTTACCACTCTTGAGAATCAAATATCGCATGTAATGGCACGCCTGGATACACTAAGAGAGGACATGCACATTGTCAGAGCCAAGGAAAGAGCTGCTGTAGAGCGCAAAATACACTGGCTCAAGCTGGAGCTTGACACAGGTTTCGGCTGAATTACTTCCCGTTTTCACCCACACTAACGCACTTCTTTTCTTAGGTGGTAACATTCGCATGGAAATAGGGAATCCAAGGGATGTCTGGTTTAAAAACTGCGACAACTTAGTGACCTCAAGATTTTCATTACTGGACTATTCTCCATTTGGTATCACTGGGGTTCGTGTACTGAAAGTGATACGTATACATAATCGCTTCCTCCAAGACCGGTGGGAGAAAGGCTTTGAAGGAAAGGTTCGGTGGGACTGACTTCTTTTCCATTTTATGGCGTTCACTTCATTATTTCAGGTGGTTAAATCTAGAAAGAAGCATGTTGAGTACCTTCTTTACGGGGAAACGTTGCAATGCGCAGATGAATTTCAGTGCATTGTGGAGGAGGGATTCCCCTACTTGCCTGGACAGTCTAATCATGGCTGCCATGGGCCAGTTTTACTTTCAAATTCTATTGGTTTAGCAGATGTGCGCCGCCTTCAGGTTAATAACTTTATGAATTTTCATCTATTTGACTTGGATTCTGAGCAGGTGATTGCTGAGCAGTTGCAGACAGAGTCCCCTTGGAATATAAAGGCTCCAGGCTGGGTTTTGGTTGTGAAAGCTTACCTTGGTTGCTCGGTCCAGGATCTTACTGGTAACTATTACCCTCAACAAATTGTTCATTAACATGATGAACCAGTTTGTAATGGCAGTCAATTTAGCCTCGCCTGCAGCGAAAAAGTCCACTTATCCGGGAGCTGATTCTGTTTATAGACTTCATCCATCTGACCCCGTACAACGGTCGTGGTTTGTCTTTGAGTCCACCCTTGTAGTGCCTGAATATCTGGTCGAATTTCAGTATACTTACCACAACGAAAACGGAGGAGAAATCACGCAGAGAATATCAGCCAGACAAAAGCGCATGCTTTTCACATCGGAGTGCGAATCAGATAAAGACAGAGGCTCTTGGAAATGTATACCTTTTACTGATCCTATACAAACAGTAGCAGCTAAGGGATCTAGAACTGTAAATCATTCTCCACGACATCAACGCAGTCGGAGGATAAAACTTTCTGACAAATCGATTCTGCTAACAAACGACTTGATTTTGAAAAATCATACTGTTCACGATTTTTCTAAAGTTTTACATCTCAACATTCACAATTACAACATTGACGAGATTGATGCCTTGAAGAGTTTAGTACATCTGAAAGTACTAGAATTATCGTGCAACAAAATATCCAGAATGAAAGGACTAGAAGGTGTCACGTCATTGGAAAAGCTGGATTTGAGTTTTAATTGTATAAAAAGAATAGAAGGCCTATCGGGACTAGTAAACTTGAAAGTACTTGACTTGACAGGCAATGAGATATGGTGTTCGACTGATTTGAAGCTTCTTCATGGACAAGTAAAAACTTTGTAGTTCTGACGAGGTTTTAAGTATAGTTTCACTCACAGGTCCCCGGACTGCAAAGCCTCAGCATGAGAAACAATCCGCTAGAAGAAGAGTTTTCATACAGACAAGTGGTTTCAAGACATGTACCATCACTTTTAATTCTAGATAGCTTGCCAATCTCCACTGGTCAGTGTTTTGTAAGACTACCTTATCCTAACTATATCGTTAAACAGAAGAGCGTGTGGATGAAAGTTATGCTAAGCAATTTTATGTCATCGCCAATTCTTTTTCTGAATGGAAGTTTACTTTTCCAACGATTTTGGGTGGCCATGAAGACCTCGCCAAAACTCGCGGCCAAACGCCAGGACATAACCCCTGGCAGATGCTAGAACCTAAAGTTCGAATTCTTAACAGGGTAAAACACTTGCATAATGCTCAGGAACTTGATCAGGATGAAGCCTGGTTTGATGAGATTGAGGAGTTGCATCTGGAAGATCAAAAGCTTCGAAAGATGGAGTCCTTTGGCAAGCTTCCAAATCTCCGACGGCTTTTGCTGTCCAACAATGACATTTCCACCATTGAAGACTTAGAATCATGCACATTTTTAGAAGAGCTCATTCTTGACAACAACCATATCGAACAGGTAGACACTAAAATGAAGAAAACTTATGGTTTTGATTTCAAAATGTCAATTGCAAAGGTCAAAGGTATTCCTCCATTGCAATCCCTTTGGAAGCTAGACCTTAGCAGAAACTATCTTACATCTTGTGCTCATTTGCACGGCTTTGGAGCCTTGACTCAGCTTTCAATCGAGAGAAACTATATCCAGTCCTTAAAGGTACCCAATTATAATCATACTATGTCAACATTTCACATAATGCTTTACAGGGCTTGAGTGGGTTAATATGTCTGATGGAGCTGTATGCGGCAAACAATCAAATCTCTGACATGCGTGATCTCCTACATATACGGGAGCTTCCAAAGCTTATGGTTGTTGACTTGTCTGGCAATGCTTTATGTCAATGTTCAGAGTACAGGACCTACTCTATATACAGTATGAAAAAGCTTAAGGTAAAAGCATCATGTATTTCGCACAAAATATGTTTTTGTATACAGGTGCTAGATGGAAGAATTGTAACCAGCAGTGAAGTAGCACAAGCGCGGGAGAAACATATAGGTCGATTAACGCGAGAATCCTTAGAAGAACGTTTAGGACGAAGCTCTTTTAATGGAGTAGAGGTGGTCGCCAATGTAATGTTTGGTTCTTGAGTGTTCATTTGTTCTATAGGTATTGGATTTGTCTGGAAGAAGTCTACGACACTGTGGAGATGTTTTTGAAAACAAAGATATTCAAGAACTTACTGAACTGAATCTTAGCAACAACTTCCTTTCTCACGTACATGGTCTTCAGTAAGTCGTTTTTTATGGGTGTCTCATCTAAACGTGGACTATAGGTTTCTGAGAACCTTGTTGTGCTTCGCATTGAAAACAACAATATTGAGAATGGCCGCTGTTTAGATATTTCGTTACCCGTTTTCCATAGTTCTTCCACTTCTGTTGGCGATCAACAAATTATAACCAGTTGCCACTCTCACGAAGTTACGAGCTACACATACACTGGACTTGAAAACGTTGAATGCTTGCAGCTGGCAAGGAACGCGATCAGTAGTATTTTTTCCTTGCAATTATGCCACACCTTTGCAAATCTCAAAAGTTTATCTTTGCAGGACAACAGAATAACTAAGGTCAGCCAATCTTTTGTTTATAACGCATGGCTCAATAAAACAAAATGCAGCTGGATGGACTGGATGGATTGCTATTTCTGGAGAAACTCTTTTTAGACCACAACAGTATAAAAGAAATTGAGCCTTCTTCGTTTGCTGGACTATACAATCTCAAGGTGCTACATATGAGCGACAATGTACTGCGTGCGCTTAGTCACATGGAGCATCTAACATCTCTCGAAACTTTGGACTTGGCTTCTAACTACCTAACATCTAATAGGCTTGGTGGACTTTCAAGCATCGACTGCTTGACTCGCATGCCAAACCTTGTGGACCTGTCCTTGGCAAACAATCCGGTACAAATTTAATTGAGTAATTAATTTATAATTTTAGAAAAATGCAGATGAGTAGGCAACCGTTTTATCGCATAGGTGCAATTAACAAGTTGAGACAGCTGCAATATCTTGATGGAAAGGAAATTTTCGAAGTGAGTTTGACCTTATTTTTATTTATTTATTTCTTTTCTGACACTACAGTTCCAGGACGAACGCGAAGAAGCAGATATATTCTCGACTGGAAATAACAAGGAGTCCTTTCCAGTTTTAGATGGAAGTGGCTTAGTAGATGTTACGGCCATACCAGGTAAGGTTCCTTTAAAAGTAACAGCCATAAACTTTGAAAATATGTGCGGTCCTCCAACTTCTCCAAGACATGGAAATGGCTCCCTCAATTGCTCTACTCTCGGCAGCATTTTCAACTCTGGCAGTACTATATCTGCTTCCAAGCCTCAAATGTTGCCAGCTGTCAACAACTCACTTGGACAGCGGTTTTGGGAGTCATCAGAAACAAGACATATTATCCAGAAGAATGAGTTGTCTCCGTGTAGAGGAAGAGGGTCCAAAGTGGATACTAGCAAGGTGATTGTGGTACCTATGCTATTGATGAAGAATCTTAAGAATGTAAGAGACAGAACCGTGTTTGACAGCTTAAAGTAGCACCAAGACACTGTGTCTCCACTCTGAAAAGGTCAGACTAAAACGCTCATGTTATTCTCATTTCCAAAACCTGCAACTCCTATCACCTAACTCCTATTCAAAAGTTTCTAGGCCGCCAACTGCCACCTCAGCATTGACCGGGCTTCACTGTTAGCATTCCAATTTAGGGTCTCTAGTCTAGATGTAGCAATGCACAACATGAAGATATTGACTCTTGACTATACAAAAATATATTAGAAATGTAGCTTAAATGTTCCTTGTTGCTCATACACAGGACTCATGTGTTTTCCAGTTTTATTGTTCCTCCAAAGTGGAAGTTGAGCCCTTTGTTTCATAGATTTATAAAGCTGACTAACGATAGCCACCCAAGAGAGTTAGAAAGTCAGCATCATGTCTCCAACTAGAGGCTTAAGTTCCGCAGCCTTGAAAACCCCAGGAAGCGATCTTCCACTTCCATATAGCCTATCACCTCCACTTCACAACCACGGCCTCATTGCTCACCTGGCTTCCTATTTTTTATTTTTTATTTTCTATGAGCCTCTTCTTGTCATTTTGGTAAGAGTGGCAGTAACAAAAAAGAGCCTCTGAAGGAAACATGTGCTTGCTAGGCGAGGTCTTCTTAGCTGTTAGAGTAGAGAATAAGAAATTATACAAGGAAACTAATCTCCAAGGACGTATGGAGCAGTAGCAGCAGCAAATGGAAGCTTCAGGTTCTTGATATAGCTTTTTATTTTTTTCCAATTTTAAAAATATCACATTGTCAAGAGCTGGAATATTATACAACAAGGTAATAATTCATTTACAGCTAATGGATTTAAGTCCTTGCTCTGTTTTCTAGCTTTAACAGAACCCACTGATAAACTTTATAGTAATTAAAAACATTAGGAGATTGGAACTATGGTCTATTGAACCACCATGACCTATTGCTATAATATGACCAAAGTGCTGGTTATTCACCCCCTTGTGACATATGGAGATTTTGCTCTGGTTGTAGGACATGCAATGGAATGATATCCAATGCTACTTGGTAGCTCTGAAGATCAAGCCCTATGAAATTTCAAAAAAGTTTAAATGAACAGTAAAGAATATGACTTTCAACCTTCTTTGTGATAATTGTGTTACTAAAAAATGTTAGGTCTTAACATTGTTGATTGCTGGAGCATTGACGTGAACCACAGGAATATTCCAAGAATATTCCATGGCATGTGGAATTTAAGGCCGTAACACTGTGGGTTGGGAGGCTGGCCTAGGGTTCACCCTCTTGTTTGTTTCATTGGTATCGAGTAATATGTTCTTTTGGGGATGGTGGGTGAGCAAGATATTGATCTGATGAAGAGTGTGGCATTAGTGATGATGGCCATGATGATGCGGAAGAGACTTTTGATGATGTTGTTGTGCGGCAAAGATGCCAGATTTCTGAGGTTCAAAGCGACATAAAGGAGTTAAGGATTCCGTCAATTTCATTAAAGATTTCTTGCTTTGCATGGACCCTTAAGGGTTGAATCAATCTTATATCCGTGATTACCATTGGTACGTCAAGCATGCCAAGGATTATGGTACCATAGAATGGAAATCATCACCAGATGCTTGTGATAGTCAAGAGGTTAATTCTTGGTTGGAATTGTGGAAAAGTTCTTAGTCTTACAATCCTTGTGAGGATAAGGTGAAGATAGATTTTTTTTGTGACGAAGCTTTTGGGCCATGCTTCTTCGTGGTGGAAGAATTACATCAAAGCCAATCCGAAGCTAACTTCTTGGACCAATTTGACAAAGGTTTTTCACGCTTCATTTGTCAAGAAGTTTGAAGAAGTTGATCTCGTGAATCAGTTGTTAGAGATCCAGCAGGGGACTTTGTCTTTAGATACGTATACCCACAAGTTCCATAATCTTTGCCTTAGTCTCACAGGCACGTATAATGAGTTGCTAAAGGTGCAATATTTCATCAAAGGATTGAGCTCAGTGGATGTGTAGCAAAAAGTCAAGAAGGATTTTTCAGCAACATTGACTGATGTTATCACTAAGGCTCAGATCTTTTTGCCTGAACTATTAGTCAACTATGGTCAACAAGATGGTTTATAGGGTAGTCAACGTGATGACCAGCTTGCCAATACTTCATATTTGGGGAAGAAACGGTCGTTATTCCATTATGGCTCAAAGCATGAAGATGGCAATGAGGCTAAGAAACTTCGTTTGCACCAGCAAGAGAAGGACAAGACGGAGGGCAATTGTTTTTGTTGCCACAGAGCTGGACATTAGAGCAAGGATTGTTCTGAAGGGGTTAATGAATGATAAGGTGACTGTGGTGGAAATTATAGGCAATTATATGAGTGATAGTGCTTTTGGGGCCATATTGCTTCAAGTTAGGCATTCTCTCACATTCATAAGCCACAAGTTTGATGCCACACAATGGAATTGACTTACTCAAGAATGGCAACATTATCTATATGGATCGGACTTCCATATAGATTTAGATCATCAGTCTCTCCAAATGTGGATCTTTGAGGCCATCTTGCTCGTTAGCAAGAGTTCCTGCAGGAATTGTCTGTTAAGATCCGGTACAAGTGTGGAGGTGACAATAAGATGGCTGATGCATTATCCAAGATGGTAAATTCAATCTCGTTCGTGAAGCTATCCAACAATTTCTTGGATGAGCTTAAGGAGTTTGTTGACTTCAACTCCTTTATCATTGATATCGCAAAAAGGTTTTGTTGAGGGACACCTCTACAGATTTGAAAGGTGACAAGTTTGTGTCATTCGAAATACGAGATAGAATCCTGGTGAAGAGGGGACGTGTAGTGGTTCTTCGTATTAACAAACTCATCAAACAGATTTTGGTTGAATATCATGATGTGCCAAGTGCTGGGCATTCGGGGGTATTGAGAACATATATGTTGGTGAAGAGGCATTTCTTTTGGCCTGGGATGAAGTCAGATGTTGAGAAGTACAATATGATTTTTTGACCTGCTAGGTGGTCAAAGTTGATCATCAGAAGCTCGCTGGCCTCTATCATCCTTTACGTGTACCTGAGAATAAGTGAGATAGCATCTTGATGGACTTTATCACTGGTTTGCCCAAAACCTTTTGAGGAAATGATGCTATTTGGGTTGTGGATTATTTGACAAAGATGGCTCACTTCTTCCTTGTCAAGATGACGATAAAAGCTTCTGAACTTGCTTAGTTGTTTGTAGACTACATTGTGAGTGATCAGGATCCCAAGTTCACGTCCAAGTTTTGGCAAACGGTCTTTGAGAAGCTAAAGATTAAGTTGAGCATGAGTAGTGGTGAGCATCCACAATGAGATGGGCAGATAGAGCGCATGAATCAGCTATTAGAAGATATGCTAAGGTCTTTTGTGGGAAACTTGACTCAACAGTGAGTATGGGAGAAATACTTGCCTTTGCTTTAGTTTGCTCACAATAGCGCTCATCAATCAGATATTGGCATGTCTTTCTTTATGGCGATGTATGGCTATGAGCCTAGGTCTCCTGTGAGTTTGAATTTGGCTTTGGTTTGGGTACCTCATGCTTGTGATTTTTTGGAGGATATGCAAGACAAACTTGAGTGTAAGGAACCGACTCCCCGAGGTGTCATAGGCTAAAGGATCCCCGAAAGAATGACCGAAATGACAAAGAGTTCATCGGATGGGACCGAGTCGAAGATCGAGTCCAAGACCGACTCTAAGATCGAGTTTGAGATAGAGTCCGGGATCGAGTCCAAGGTCGAATCGGAGACCGAGTTTGAGACAGAGTCTGAGATCCAAATCGGGTCTGAGGTCGAGTCTGAAGTTGAGTCCAAGATCGGGTCCGAGATCGAGTCCGAGACCAAGTCCAAAGTCGGGTTCGAGATCGAATTCTAGACTATGTCCAAATACTAATACGGGTCAAGGGGTGAAAGCCTAAAGCGTGCGTCTCCCGGGGGGGGGGGGGGGGGGGCTTCCCGGGGTTTCCAAAATTTAAAAAGGGAAAGGGGGGCTTAGAACCCCTCTTTAAAGGAATCCCCAGGGGGGGTTCCCAAACGAATTTAGGGTGGGACTTTGGCCCAAGGGCCTTTGGGGGGAAAGAACATGGGGTTTGGGGGGGCCCAAAGGGCCCCCCTAGGAAAGGTCTCAAAAAAGCTCCCCCCCCCTAAAAGGAAAACAACTTGGGGGGTCTTGGGCC